AATACCTAGAACACTGTGAAAATGCATATAAATTCTCGTTTCAGGTTTAATCAATGGAAACGGCAACTTCTAGATTTTCACACGGGGTTTCATGCAACATACTCTTCAGCAACTATTCGAGCATGAGTGTCATTTTATAGTAGCGCAACTTTTTGAAGGCGAATCTAGTTGCCGCCAGGAAGATACTTCAGTGGCAAAAAAGAAGTGGGCATTTTTTCGCGAAAGAAACGTGATAAGTAATAAGCAATGGACAGAGGGCCGAAATGGACAGTTACTTTGAGGTAGAGTAAGTCCACTGGTCGTTTAGGGGTAAAACCTCACAGCTTTGGTAAATGTCAGTTAAATCAAATTTTTGTTACAGTGGTTTATTTTGATTCCTCTGCTAAAACGATTCACATTTCTCTACTTTGACCTAGATCGGTCACGAATGGACGCAACCTGAAGTTTCTTTTGGAGAGTATTTCAATACCTAATGCCACGATTTTCAACTTAGGTATGTCGCAGGCAAAGAGTCAAATCAGGCACTTTATAAAATGTCAAGGCAGATAGTCAAATGACAGTTTACGAAATTCTGTAAATTCATTGATCGAAACTAACGAGTTTTCATTATTTTGGAAAAAATAACTCATCAAATCTAAAAAATCCCATTGTTCCTCCCTCGTCAAATTCGTCGCGTGTATTTATGTACTAAAATTTTAAAAGTTCTGTACTGTATGACGTGCTGAAAATTTCGGGATAAATGTCCGTTAAGGAGCCAAAAATGATTTCAAATACTAAGTATTGTATGATGCATATGGTTAAGAATAATTCTTTCTTGGAGAAGCAAAGAATTATTTTCTCTACGATTTGGAGAATAATTAGAACTTCAATTTAAGTTAGAATATTTGACTACTTGCCTTGGATTTTGAAAAAAACACCTGATTTTACTGTTTACTACTATATTATCATAGTCGTAGTTCCGTCAAAAAAGAAGCGTAACTACAATTCAATGTTGTCAAAATTTCCTCTCACAAATTTCATTTTTAACATGAGAATCTTGCGCGTTTTTAACTGAAAATTTCACTGATTTTGCTTCAGATCTCACGCAAAAATCGGAACAATTTTGGACACAAATTGCACAGGAATATTCTTAGAAAAAATTGAATTATTTGAGTCAATTTTGCATCTTGGAATGGAGTTACGTCCCTTCGTTCGGAACGACAAGATCCCCGACTTATCCCACATCTTCCTAGACTTTCCTCGATTTTTGAGGCCGCCGCACAGTGAATCGAGTCCATTAGAGAGGTCGCACATGAAATGTTTTACTAAAACTGCAAATTTTGATGTTTATTTCGCCACTTCTTGAATTTCAAGGGGTGCTTACAGAAAAAAATTTCGCCAGGAAACCAATGGAACCACTTTTAAAACGTCAAATTTTTGTATAAACGGAGTTATAAGCGTTTGGAGTTTCCAAATTTTGTCCGACCTCTCCTATTGACTCGATCCACTGTGCGCTGGGGAAACCCTGAAAAATTCGTAAATCCCATGAACATAATTTTTCCTCTGAATGTTAGGTCATTTCGTTCTTTATCCCAAACCTCTTTTTTTTTCGCTGAACTGTTCCCGGTTTTTGTTCACGTCGGTCCCTTCCCTTAGTGATGAATCATTTTACTTTGGCTGGAATTTATCCTTTTTAATGAAACTCTCTGTGCCTATAGAACTGTGCTGAATTTACACGCAGTAACTGAGAGTTAAAGGTAGAGGTAGGCATCTACGCTTTTTCCAGCTATAATGGGATCGGTGCAATATGGAGGGACCTTAATTGGATCGCGTTGACAGGGTTTCTATCAACTATGACAAACCAAAATTGGGGACTTTCGGGGTCTATTAGGGGTGTTTTGTTTAAAAAAATCGGTAACTTTTTTCTCGAAATAGTAAAAGAAAGGGAGCTAGTTAGATCGTTAAAAGGCGTATTTTATACGACTAATTTTACACACTGAAAAAAAAAAACACATTGGATCTAGAGTCCAGACTCTTGAAAACATTGACAAGAAAAAATACCCTTGATTCAATCGGATTTTTGCTTGAATCAAAACGAAATCCGCTTAAATTAAGAGGCTTGGTTATTGATTTAAGCTAGATTCTGATTGAATCAAGAGTACTTTTTCTTGGCGATGTTTTTAAGAGTCTGGACTATAGATCCAATGTGTTTTTTTCCCCCGCAGTGCAAGTCATGTTGAACCGATGAAAACATACGAAAAACGAAGCAACACCTCAGTTTTTATTCCTGGTTATACCGCGCTACCGTGGCCGGCGGGAAGATTTGAAAATGCCGGTGTTAAGGACGATTTTTGTCATTTTTTGGGGACCTGCACAAGAAATTTGGGGACATTCGGGGACACCCTTCCGAAATCGGGGACTTTTAGGAACCGGTAGACACCCTGGTTAAGCAGAAAGGAACCAAGCCACATCAGCTGTTGCCAATTTTAAACGGGCAATTTAATTTTTTACATGAAAACGGCTGTGCGGATTTGTCTACAAATTTCATTGAATTTTCTTCAGAGTAAGAATCCAATTCCTCGAAGATTTCGAGGGAATCCGCACAGACGTTCTCTTGTAAAAAATAAACCGCCCGATTAAATTTGGCAATGGCTGATGAAACGTTCAATTTTGAGGAAAGTTAGGAATATTTTTCCTTGAAATTTTCAGGAACTTTAGGTGAAATTGCGAGCGAAAGGATCGGAAAAATTGGAAATAAAAAATTCATAAGTTTACCAGGAAATTTGTGTTTTAACAAAAGAAATTTGGCAACGCCTAGAGGCTCATACGGCATTTTTCCCTAGCACGGCAGTATTGTAGACTAAAAACAAATGCCTCAAAACTTGGGCTTCCCGCGCAGAGCGGCAACTGGGCTAATGCATTAAGCTCTAATCCGTGCATTAGTGTGCACAGAGAATTTAACTGATTATAAATACAGGGGTGGACTCTCGTGAAATCATTCAATAATCCAGCACTGAGGCTTGAGTTTACGACTAACAGCTTTTCATGGGCTTGGGGGTTGATTTACGTCGAGTTCAAAGTTTCATCGTGTTAATCGCAAAAATTCGAAGAGTAATATAGGGACATGAGTTATCACAGAAACTCAGTCCTAATAAGCAGACATTTGACAACACCTATATGTTTTCACAGAATTTTCCTTAGTATGCGGCATAATCTGTGCCCGGCAACCTGTGCTGTTATGTAGTATCACAACTTTTAGAAGGCAAATTGGACCACGTTAAACAGAAAGGAACCAAGCCACATCAGCTATTGCCAAATTTAATTGGGTAATTTAATTTTTTACATGAAAATGGTGGTGCGGATTTTCGTGCAAATTTCAGTGAAAATTCTCCATGGTACGAAGCAAATTCCTTAAAATTTTCAAAAAAATCCGAATAAACGTTCTCTCGTAAAAAATGTAATTGCCCAGTTAAACTTGGCAATAGCTGATGTGGCTTAGTTCCTTTCTGTTAAACTCGGTCCGATTAAGCTGCCAGTGGGTTGGATTTCTTCATAATGAAAAATTACTTTTCTTCTACTTTTAAGTAGAAGCAAACTGTTCTGTTGAGCTGATTACTTTCATTGTAGAATATCTTCAAAACTTCGGTAATTCTCTAATTTCCGACCATTTGGTAAAAGTCGTTTATTTAAATGATCTGGACGGCTGTCATCTGTGATCAAATTTAGAAAATATTTTCTTTGATTAGGGTCAATTAAGTAAGTGCCTAAAGGCTTCTTTATTACTTTACCTAGGTACCTAATAGAGAAAATTCCATTGAATTAAGTATCACTCTAAAATTATTGCCAAAAATTTTCCAAAAAATTTAGTCAAGTAAGACATCAAAAAGAAAACTTCTTTTCCACCATTCAATAGACTTTTCATATTTTAATTTGAAATCTGACCCGATATGAATGTGCAGTAAGCTTGGAATTTCTAATCATTTTGAGGTTTGAGTGATTGGTAGGTACCTACTTAGTTTGATGGAAAATAGGACAACTTTTTTGGAAAGACAGAGGCATTCAGAGTTAAATTTTGAGTCTCTGCTCATGAAGTTTAGGTACTCCTTCTTACTTTTCATTGCATCCTACACATT